GACAAAAAATTTACTGATTGCATTTTTGGCATCAGTATCGATCACTAATCACCCCCTGGTAGTTATTTTGAAAATATATTTCATGTACAGAATTGACCTCTCTACAGATTTATTATAAGTATAGATTAATATTATTGAGAAAATAATAGAAATAACTAGGCCTAATAATCACATTGACTCTACATTTCGTCGCGAGACTTCAGCTCTTTCAGTTCCAGTTTGTACAGAGTACGGAAAAACATGTTCTGAAAAGTTTCAACTTTTCATTCACTGTAAAGTTATAAATGGTAGTCACCCAAAAGGGTTGATACAATTTCTTTTTCATTTGGTAGATTATTGTAACCTTTCGCGACCTTTATTGTATTAGGTCCATACCTCGTAGACTTAAGGGTCTCAAGGTCATCAAAACAGTCAAGCCAGGGATTGACAAGGGACGCCCTTTTGCTACAATAGAATTATCATTGATTTCGTAAAGCCTGGTGTCCGACAGAATGGGACAAGCCGTCTGTGATTGGACGAAATGTTTGCTGAAATCATAAAAAAGGATTGACAATTTTATATTTTATTAAATGAATTTAAAAGCCGTAGGTGCGTGTTATTCGAATTCAAATCCTTTTCAAGCTCGGCTCTTGTACGTACTCGTCCCAATACACAGGTTAATGTCTCAGATAAACATAACTTGAATTGAACTTGAATAAATGTTACTTACATAATATGAACTGACTTGAGTACACCTCCACAGCACTATTCATAGTAATTTATCTTTTATTAACATGTAAATGGTAGGTATTAGCAGACTTTATACTGTGTGTACCTATTAGTAGGTACATTAACTGTCAGGTATGATTTATTATATTTTTCATAAGAGTTTTATGTGTTATAACATAGTAATTCGTAGAAATGATAAATGATGATCAAAAATGATTTATGTACTGGAGAATGTTAGCGAGTTATTGTTCGAAATTCTGTGTTTGTAGAGTTTTTATTATTCAATGTAATTCATTCCCTCGTATCTACTAACAAGTAGATCTTACTGTAACTGAAAGTTATTGTATTTATACCATGTTACCTACTTAGCCACTGCTTCTAAAAAACATAGTCGTAAAATCTCCACTATTCTGAAACATTCCTTATTTGGCTGCTGAAAGTTAAAAACATTAATATTTTCCTATATAGTCTATCTAAAAACTTTAGAAGGATTTCTATCAAGAGTACAGTAGGGTAAACATTAACACAATTAGACTGTCAGTTATTTTATAACATTTTGATCTTGTTGTCTCCTGAAAATTCAGCTTCAAAATACATACAATATTAAAGATGACGAAGTTACCGACATATTTTGTGTATAATGTGTATTTTCACCTGTCAACCGTACAATGCCGGAGCCGCCGGCCGTATCGACCGGTCTGGGTCAGTTGGCGCGCTGCCAGCGGTTTAGTGAGGGTAGTCTGCCAGGTTCACTCGTCAATCATTGCTGGCTGCTGGTTCCGGGAGTTATTGATGGCAGACGCACGGTTAAGCCAGGAAATATCCTGGTACGCTGAAGGATAAAAACGTTACCTGCTATTCTTTCAGGTGTAAATCCATGTTAGTTAATAATCTGCTTAGTAATTGAAATTCTCCTTAAGTCGGGTTGGTTACTGAGGTTATAAACGATTTCATGAATCAGCATTTATAAATTATTTCCATGTCGCTAATGGCATCACATAACATCTGAAACCTCAGTTCATAAAAAATAAAACTACAAAAAGTGATTTTCTACTTAGTGTGTCTAAAAATTTCGAGTATTAAACATTAAGATTAGGTACCTACTTGATGTGGTTTCTCTACATTAAGTATTGTGTCCACATGTAAGTAAAAGAAAACTTAAAGAGAATCGGTCTATTTAAAAATAGCCATCAAAAGGTCAACGAGTGAAAGAAATGTCAAATGATCGAAATACATTAACAATAGTCTGAATCAATAGTGACCCGCCCTACTATGACATCTATGTAGACATTATAAAAACTGAAATAAATCAGAAAAATGCTCAAACTAAATAAAATACAGTCAACTCACCACTACATAAATAATTTATATTAACACGTAATATTACCTCAAGGTACAGTATATAAAAACCAGTTCTCCATTTCTTCTTTATTCCGGCGTCAACATTTCTTGCTCAACTAAGTTATCCTTACCCGTGTAGTGGGTGGGGGGTTTCCTGGGCTCTGGGGAGGCGGTTAAGTATGCTGGACGGCTACTGAATAATAACATGTACATAGTGTAAATTGGTGCAGTAGGTCATCTCTACATTACGCAACCAGGAGTTACATGCAATCTAAAAAGTGCTGTTTTATCTCACATTTATTTTTATAAACGTAACTCTAGGATAGCTAGGATCTAGATACACAACTACACTGCGAATTAAAACACAACCAGATTATGTTATGCTTGACATCAGGTTAACTGACTAGTTGAGCTGACGTATATCCAAAAAACTGTCAGTTTACTATTAATTTTATGATTTCGCACACACGGTCTTGTGGATGTTCCTAGTCCTACGTCACTTTAACTAACGGGCTGTGACCAGCTTTACTAAAAGTAGACCTACTGTGTTTTGTTTATACTGTGTAACATATCCGAAACAGTCGACAAGTATGTTAGATACCATGCGTTGGGGTAGAAATGTTTAACGCTAACTAAGTAAGTATCGTCCTCTGGAATAACTTTATTCGCTGACAACTTTATTTCATTTACTACCTACTGCGTACTTACATTAGCACCTATCCAGGATCTTTACATCCTATGCAGTAGTGGTGGTAATGAGAGGTTTCAATAATCCCGTAAACTGACAATGCGGTTGATTGATATTATCAATAATAAATAATAATAATAAAAATCTTTGGACAATTTCACACAGAGCGCTATCTAGCTCCAAAGTAAGCAATTAATATGCTTGTGTTATGGGTGCTAGCTTAACGGATATAGGTAGGTACATAACCAGACCCGTCACAGAAATTAAAATTCATCATTCGTTGATTGATAAATTTAATAACATTTGTTTACAAAACTATATCTACAGAGTCGCCTGTATCTACACACACAATACACATTCTGGCTAATAGGGTAGTAGCACAGATAGTATAATAGGTAGTAGGTATCTCTTGGAAATAACATAATACATTTACCATGTTGAATTTAAGTAGTACCTACTTGTAAATCAAGCTTAGCAGAACTCATCAAAAAGCCACATTGTAGACAAACGTTTACTTAGGTAATTCGTTGTAATTTATTCATCTACTGCCTACACGATTTATGGGTAACTCAAACATTCGTGCGGCTATTACAGGAACAAACTTTTGTAATGAAATGGAAACAGCCTGGAAGGCTCAATTATATTGCGCTAAAGATATTATTCCAATGTAATGGTACCTAGTTACCTACCTACTCTAAAATAATTGAAACGAGAAAAAAATATTATCTATTGGATGTAATGTTCCCAATGAAAAATCTTAACGTTATTTCTTGCTGTCATTACACAAAATCATCACGTTCAGCCTAGAGCAGTCCAATGCTGGACTTTGAGTCTTCGGCTTTCGGCTTGTAGTAGCTTCTGACAGCGATTTCGCAAGTCGTCACTCTACCTAGCTGGATTTTCACCAGCAGCGCAGCCTACCTAGGCCTTCAAGATTCTACACAGTACACACGGCATTGCCTGCGTTTATTTTCGATAAGTATGACATTGGTCACAGAAACTATCAATCAAAACTATCCTGATTCATTCTTTATGTATTTTTTTTTAAAGTAGAGCTCTGTAGGCGATATTCTTAGCAAATAAAAATTATGTTTTTTCAATTGAAAAAATCTGATTCCTCAGAAGGCACTTGCACCTCCGACCTTTGCTACCGGTCAACTGCTCTACCTAACTGCAGATATAAGTAAACTAGACTTTTCTAGTAATTTGAATGCTGTTGGCCAACTGAGGTTTAAACTAATTTTCAAGTAGGTATTTTGTATACTCCGTAAGTCAACTGAGCTTAAAAGCTAGTACAGGCGCGGCAGATTCTGTTGACAGATGTCGAATAAAGCTCTCGCTTCGGATAATATTCCGTGTAAATTGCGATTGGATGAGCATGTCCGTCCAATCAGAGGACACAGTTTTAGCTCGCATTTGGGCGCTATTTCATTTGTGGGAGTGGACCAGGGCAAATTGGGTCACATTAGGTACGGCACGTCAACGTAACCACTGCGGGTTCTTGTGCAGTTGTAATAGGGGCGAGATTGCAACAAAAATGGGTAGCCTGATGTGCTGTCGTGTGTACATAAATAATAAGGACGTATTGATTAAAAGTTACTTAAATTGACTGATTAAATTATTTACTTTGTGTACTACGAATTTATTTTGACTTTGATTCTGTCTACGTGTGTAACTTTGGGTATGTGAGATAGAGTCAAATGAAGGTGTTCTATGAAGTTAATAAGTAAAATGTTTTACAAAATAATTTATTTGATGCAAAATCCCGAATGCTTTTATAAATATTTTCCATTGATAAATTAATCACATATTTAATACACTTTCGCTCTAACAAATCTGGGGCATAATTGAATGGACAACTGGACTGGGTAATCCCCCGTTAGTGACAAGAATAATCGTGTGATTATTATTGCTGTCAACAACGCTGATATAACTTTGTCAACATGTGGGATGGTGGATTAAGCGAATTCGGAATTGAGTTGGGAACCGAGATTCGTTTAATCATATTGGCAAACAAATTGGTTATTTTGCTTTATCAAATATTAGGATCGTACGGAATTTAATGCAATCTTTGAATAAGCAGAGAGGATTGAGCAAAGTATAACAAAAACAAAAAGAAATAGGCACACATTTGCATATACAGTAACAGTTTAAACTCAGCTTGTGTTTTCAACCCAGTTTTGATTTTGTAGAGGAGGTCGGGCAAAATTGGACAATCGTTTCAGTTAATTTTATATTAACACTTTCTCATAAGAAACCGTTTATTTTCCTAGCCGTAACATATGAAGAGGATGGAAACCAAATAGTAAAGTAATATCGCACACAGAAGTGTAAACTAGTGTAATCAGACATTCGTTCGGGCTCACTTCGGGAATATTCGGAACAGTTCGGAAGCCGCCACGAGTGGGGAGGCGCGAAGGATCTGCGCCGGAGGAGTGGAGGTGTAAGATGGAAGATAATGCCGACCAGATTTTTACATTCAGGTAAATGTTCTAATTTTTAACTGTACTTCTATATTTTTATGATTATACTTAGATGATTTTCTTTCTCTGGGAATACAGGTAATTTGGTATAACAGGTATTTTTCTGTTATTAAGAATATTTCAGCCACAGGACTTTCTCTGCTGAACATAGGCCTCCCCCCAATGCTTTCCATATGGGTATTGCCCGGTTGGTAGCGGCTTGCATCCTGTGGCAGAAATGATGATGATGATGATGAAAATTTATTAGTAGGTAATTCGTTTTTCTCAAATTACTAATACTAGTTCTAACCTCTCCTTAATACTTAGTTCAGCAGATGACGGAATTTGAACTCCCAATCTTCAATAATATATCCCGTCTCCCGAGTATCGTAAGTCTTCAAGAAGTGTTCACAGACATGTTGACAAATACAGGTTGAACGATACAGGTACAAAATGTACGATAAAATTCGCGAATATACAAACACAATACCATTCTAAAGAAACAAAGGAGTCCATGAAAATTAAATGAGGGTACCACATTATTCTATCGCCTTCATTACTGCTGTTGTGATGTCGAACACAGGCGAAGTTTTAATTACGTGTCCCAGAGAGACAAAGCCGAGGGTGCTCTGCCTAATGAGATGTGAAAATACCGCCTATCTGCGATCAAACTTGTCCTGACTAGCTTTTCCCTGCTAGACAAGTTGTTAGTTCTCACTTGGCTTATTTTGTGTAATAATAATTGTACCTACCAAACTAAATAACGATAGCTATCCTAGTGGATATTGTTAGTACACTGCTTGTCTCCCATAGTTACTATCTAAAGCTAATTTAGCTATGGATTTTGGCAAATAAAACTTTTCTGTGGTTCATCATCATCATTTTTTCAGCCACAGAACGTCCATTGCTGAACATAGGCCTCCATATTCACCGGTTGTAGCGGCCTGAATCCAGTGCCTTCTTGCTTCTTGCTACCTTTATGAGGTTATTGTTGGTTCATCTTGTGGTTCTTTTCTGTTAGACTAGATTATTTATTATTTAAAAGAACAGTAAACAACCACCTACAGATGTAATAAAATAGGTTCATTTCTGGTATTCCACTAGATATTTCTAGTTTATTATAATCACACGTCCGTAGGTGAGAGACAGCGGAAAGCCGGGTTAATGAGGTATCGCAATCCGACCCAATGATGGAGAATCTATTTTTGGATCATTGCTTTTGTAGCACGTGAAATACAAACTAAGGCTTCCCTAAACGTGACTTGCGCACCGAAAATTTCAGAGTAGAGCCGTTGCCAAAAATGTTATTCGAAAACTAATAATAGTAACGGAAAAGGTTTCACTTAACTTTTCATATGCCCAAAACTATTTTAATCTCAGTTTTTTATGTAATTTGGCATATTTACAGTTTCTTTTAAAGGCATCGCAAGAGAACTTGTACCATTTGGTCGTTTTCGTGCCTCTGGGCATATATGGAAGAACAAACGTAGCTTTGTTATTGTTACAATATTTCTTACATTCAGATTCTTAAATTAATTTTCTTTCAGAGCTGAATTAAGACGATGCAAATGCCGAGAGTCGCGACATCTGTCGCACAATTGGAAAGTCCACAATTATTTATTTGCTGAAAAATTTCTCCAGAAACTCAAGTTCAGATATTGCTCTACTTATTAACATTACTCGAATTTATTATTATTGTGTTCTGATTCCGTGTGAAATATTGCTTTTCATTTAATTTGCCTCGCAATATTTTTTTTATTAAAAGCCATTCATTTGTAATTAGGAAGATTTGGTTGATCAAATAGGCACTTTAAATTTCTTTGCTTCAAAACTTTAGTGGTTCATTACTTGTCTGTGAAATTATTATTGAAATATGTCTGGAAATATTTCTTAAAATTTTAATAGGGAATTCGAGAGCATTTGCCTTGAATTCGTAGGACTCCCACGCTGCTACAATTCTAATCCATTATTCAGGCGTTTCTCCAGAAACCTAATACTGGGAATATAATTGTGGGTAGAACTTTTAGAATGGCTCTAAACGTGTTTTAATTAAACTTTGGCCGTGTTAATTATTACAACTTTATTATAAAGTCAGCATATTTTATATTCAGAATAGGCTCAAAATTAGTTATATTATTTCTTGTAAAATAAGACCACGATCAATGTTAGTCATTAGTATCTTAATTTAGTCTTCAATAATTCAAATTAGACACTAGTGTACAAGTATACAAAGAAAATGCAATCTTCTGTGCCGTGTGTAAAGTTATAAGCGAATTTCACTAGTGTTTTAGCAGCTCAGCAGTACCGTGTATGTGTAATATTAAAGTTGTAGTGTGTTTAAATAAGTTTGCAGCTTTAAAAATTTAATTCAGTTCAGACGCATATTTTAGTTTAAAGCGAGGCTGTGAAGGCAGTTGTAGGCCTACTGCAATGACGAAGCAAGAAAATACAAAATTAATTTGAGAATGGAGTATTCTAAATAATTGTAACATTTATTTAGAATTCATAAATTAAGAAATTCTTCAAGAGTAGAATATAAAGATTCAACGATCTATATGGCCCACACAAACATGCAATTACCTAACTAATTAACTGTTCTATTGAAATTAACGTATTTTAGTTTCTGGAGTTCTGGACTATTGTTCAGAAACTAAAATACGCGCTTACACAAAGAAAAGTTCGGAAAATATTCCTTTAATGTCCTGAACTTGAAAACGTAAAATAAAACTCTTTTTTGTTTTACCTCAGAGAGCAAACAATGGAAATCGTTAGTCATTCCGGACACAATTCGATCACGATTCCAACGATACCCCCTCTCGTTAAAACTCCAAAGGACGTAATTACTCCCCACTCCACCTTCGGGCGAAGTTTTTCATTTTTGCGTGGAATATTTCCAGAGTCCGATATTGGCCGCGTCCCGCGGTCTTGCTGAGGTATTCATCTCGTATTCTCAAGGTCGGCTCGTTTTTCCCCATTCTCCTCGCACGCAGCTGCGTTTTATCGCATTGGGACATCGAGTGCTATCAGAGTCAGATATTCTTTACTGTCGTTACGTTATAAATGATATTTACTGTCGTTTTCTTTTGAGAAGTAAAATTTAGCACCCGTATGAAAGAACTATGACGGCCGTTTGGTGTAGTGGTTCAAAACGGACTACTATGCCGAGAGGTCCCAGGTTCGATTCGCGGCCGGGCAGAAATTGAAATGATAAATTTTAATTTCTGTGACGGGTCTGGGTGTTTTCTATGTATAATATGTATGTATTTACAAAAAAAAACAGTATTTAAGTATATTTTTTAATAGTCGTTATCTAGTACCCATAGTACAAGCTTTGCTTAATTTGGGGCTAGCGGCGCAGTGTAAAAATGTCCAAGGATAAAAAAAAACTGTTTATATTTTGAGAAATAGGCCTATTTTAGATTAGGTTAGCTGGTAGTATTAGCAGTGCCGTATTATCCATAAGGCACTTTAGGCCAGTGCCTAGGGGCCCACTATGACCAGGGGCCCAGCACTCCCGATAAAAAAAAGAAAAAAAAAATCTTAAAGATTATTTTTATGCAACAAAACTCAAACCACTTCAAAACTTCGCCTTATTTTGGTTTACATATTCAATCGTCATACATATTATTTCGATATTGTGGAACCTAATTCATTTTCGTAACGTTGGCATTACTGCTTTGGTTTATATGACAGGTCGACGGTCGATGCCCTTCAGAGGCTAAAAAGCCTCACTGCGGAGGCTACGGAGAGGGGTGAGGGTGTGTTGGCTGTATCATTCGATCTAGGTACTTCAACATCACAGAGTGCCTCAGTACCTTCGAGCGCTGCTGGCCGATTACTTACGGGACCGAGAAGTCCTGTAAGTTAACAGAGACGGCCAGCTCAAACGGCGCGGCGTAGCCAGCGGGGTTCCGCAGGGTTCGCTGCTTGGTCCTATCTTGTGGAACCTAGGCTTCAACTGGCTCCTCCGGGGCGTCCTTCTCGCGGGCATGAGTGTCATATGCTGTGGTCTGTGCGGATGACACTCTGGTCACTACCCGGGGAAGACATTTGGAGCCGCGGCACGGCTAGCGTCGTCGGGAGGCACATTAGTCGCTCGCAGAATACGACGCCTCGGCCTGAAAGTCGCGCTGGAGAAGACTGAGGCCCTCTTCTTTCCGGGGCCTCGCCAGCGCGCCCCTTTCGATGCCCACATTGTGGTTGAGGACGTTAGGATTGACGTCAAAGGCCAGATGAAATATCTAGGCCTCACGCTTGACGGGAGGTGGCATTTTAGACCGCACTTCAACGGGATAGCTCCACGCCTCCTCAAAGCAGCCGGCGCACTGAGTTAGCTCCTCCCGGATTTGGGAGGGCCACAAACGAGGTGTAGTCGACTTTATGCCGGCGTTCTGAGGAGCATGGCGCTGTATGGCGCCCCAATCTGGACGGACGCACTCAACAAGAGGGACAATGCTGCCCTTCTGCGCAGACCCCAGCGGGCCATAGCGCAGAGGGTCGCAAGGACCTACCGCACGGTAGGGCACGCTGCGGCATGCGTCCTCGTTGGTACTCCTCCTTGGGAGCTAGAAGCTTGTCTGTCATCTATCACTGGATGGCAGACCAGAAGGCGCGTGGAAAGCGCCCGGCCCCGGACCGGGGCGGCGCCGTCAGGCAGGAAGAGCGCGAGATCATGATCGACCGCTGGAAGGAAGACATGACTCGGGCGCAGTTTGCCCGCCGCACTCTGGACGCCATTGGTCCTGTTCTGGACCAATGGTTGGAACGACCGCACGGGTTCCTCACGTTCCGTCTGGCGTAGGTGCTGACCGGGCATTTTATTTATTTATTTATTTATTTCACTGCGGCCGGAATCTTTCACTTCCGAGCCTGGTCAACACCATTCTGGGAAGTGAAGGATGCTGGAAGGCGGTCGCCTCCTTTTGCGAAGAGGTCATCCTTCAGAAGGAGGCAGCGGAGCGCGAGCGGGAGAATGATCCTCTCGCCTCATCGCTCCGCAGGCGGAGAAGGGGGTGGAGAAG